CTCCATCCCCTTCCCCATGCCCACTGCTCGACCGGCACAGATTTCCTTGCCTGTCCAATCGAGGTGGAAAAGGCCTCTCTCCCCCCCTCCTTCCCTCGATCCCTCCCTCCCGTTGCAAACTGCCCACGTGATATTCCTCTCCCTCGTTCCTGTTTCCTTGGCCGTGCCTCGGTCCCAATCGATCTCCCCCCTGTCCCAAACCTTCCCCACTGTTGTCCTCCCCTTCCTCTTCCCCTGAGCTTCCCATGCCGACAAAGCGCCCTGGGGAAGCACGCCTCCACACAACGACGGCCAGCACTCCTATCAAAGCCACCACCCCCAGTAGGCCCATGGCCAAGCCTATCGTGGTGCCTGGCGACGGCCCATCTCCCTTCCCGCCTTGGCCTCCCGGTCCCTTGCCCGGGCTGCCGTCTCGCAAGGCCGCGGAAGGGGCAGAGGTCGAGCTTCCAGGCACGTTCACCGTCAGGACAGCCGCCCGCCCCGGCCCCGCGGGAGAGACGGGGGCGATTTTGACCAAGTAATCGGTGCGAGGTTGGAGATTTCGCAGGACCAATTGGAGGGGGGGGAGGGAGGGAGGGAGGGGGGGGCGGAGGATGCCCCTTGTCCTTCCGTTTGGGATCCTACCGGGAGTCGACGACGGCCTCCTTGCAAGCCGCGCGCCCCCCCCTTTCCTCAACGTCCTTGCCGCCTTCCACCTCTGTCGGTAGGGTGGGTATGGCCGCCGTGGTGTTTGCCACCTCCACTTGCACCGCTTGGCTGTTGGGAGGAGCTACCGACACGGGCACCTCGCCCTCGCTGGTCACTCCCAGGTCGGGCGGCGCGGCCACGGGAAAGGTATAGACGAAGGTGTCGCCCGAGACCCTCTCGGAGAGGGTGACTCGGTACAGGTCAATGGGCATGCGGATCTGGGAGGTGTCCGCGGTCGGGGACGGGAAGAGGATATGCGCGTCCTGACTGTCGGCGAACGAAGGCCCTGGCAAGCGGAGGGTCAGGGTCGTGCGACCAGCCTGGCTGCTGACGCTGGCCTCGTTCAAGGTGGGGGAGGATGCTTTGGGCGGGAGCGGAGGGTCCGTGGACGGAGGGAAGGGGGTGCTGACGTTGACGAAGTGCACCGAAGAGACTTGGGGTGTCGGGGGCAGGAAGGCGTACGTGACCACGTAGGCCTCCAAGTCGACCAGTCCTTCCCCTCCGGAGGCGGACAATGCCTCCCCATCGCCCCTACCCTGCCTTGGCGACTCCCTCCCCTGGAGATAAACCACCTTGATCTCCCCTTCTTCGGGCGCCGTCGGCCGCGTCACTGCGAACTGCTTCAAGGCCACGGAAGAGCCCGGGCAGAACCCTGGCTGGGAGGAGTACCAGTCCCCTAGCTGATTGGGGATGACACCCGCACGCGTCAGCGTCAGGTTCGAGCACCCGAAAGGCTGGCTTTGGAGGAGGAGGGGCACGTCCCAGGTAAGGGGGGAGGGAGGGGGGGAAGAAGAGGTGAGGCTCGGTGCCAGTTCTTGGACTTGGAAGGTGTGTGCTGCCGAGGGAAGGTCACTACCGGGAGGAATCCCCTCGGCGGTTATGCTGGCTACCAACGAATAGGAAGGGACGCCCTTGGGTAACGACACAATTTTGAAATTTGAATTCGAAGCTGCCGTTGACTGGCTGTCTCCTTGGCGTGTCTGCGTCGTTCCCGGGTCGCTCGTGTCGATCCGAAAGGTTTGAAAAGGCACCAGGTCTCCGGGACTGGCCGCAGTGAAAAGCAGGGAGAGGCTGACATTGTACCCGTCTGCCCCGAGCACAAAGACCTTGACCACGGGCCGATGCGGCGAGTATTCTTCGCTCTTTCCCCCCCGCCGGTAGTCTCCTTTCAGGGGCAAGGCCGCCAAGAAAGGCGATGCCTCCACCACCGTCAGCATTTCCCGTCCTGCCGGAGCCACCAGACGACCCAGCTCCACCACTTCCCCCGCACAGCCTTCCCAGACCCTAGCGTCCTGGCCCTTTCCATGAGAGCCTCCGAGGCCTGTCGGGGTGGCTTTCAAAGGAGAGGTGCCCTTGGGTGGGGTACGAAGGCTCGTTGGAGAGGACGGCGTTGCGGCGACGGCGGTAGGGAAAGGAGGGCGGGAAGCAGAGGGGGAGGGGGAGGTCGGGAGGGAGGACGCACGGACGTGCCCGACGTTGCCATCACCTCCGCTGGTGTCAATCGGTGGGGGCGCCACGTCCTGCGCCTTGCCCACGTCAGGAGCGAACCCCTCAGGTCTTAGCGCAAGCCTTCCCCTGGCCCCATTTTCTTCCTCTGATCCTGGAGCTCCATCCAGGACGCGGCGATGGGAAGGACCGGTACCCCCTGAAGCCTCACAGGCATACAGCTTGACAAACGACGACAGGCTCGGACAATTCTCCTCCGCCCGCGCCGGGCACATCAAGTGCACCCGCAGATGCAAACCGCTGTTGGGACGCTCTGTGACGTACGACGGAATCTCCACCTCTTTCGCCAACATCCGGGTCGCTTTCTCGCCCACAGTCTGCTCTCCCTTCATCACAGGGACCGTCACCGTCGTGGCCCCCAGGCCCAGTTCGGCCGCGGGAGGATTGCTCTTTGCCACCAGCGCTTCGTATTCAAATTTTGTCGCTTCCAAGATGGCGGCTGCCAAAGACGCGTCCCCACGAACCAGTCGCCGAAAATGACCGGTCCCGTCAGCGGCGAAGGCCCACGGGGCGCTAGTCCGTTCGAACAGGGCCACACTCATATTCCTGCCTCCCTGCGAGTCGACCAAGGTGTCGCGCAACCACTGGCCGGGCGCCTGGTCGATCAATGCCAAAGGAAAGGACTCGGGAGTGATCATCGAGGGGACCTTCGCCTCGCCCCCTTCCTCTTCGGTGGCCAGCCAGGCTGTCCGGGGGTGCTCGTCGCTGTAAATTATGGCCGCAATCGCCCCTGCCCCTTTGACGACCCGGACCTTTTCCGCGAAGGAGCACCCCCCGCGAGCGACCAAAGCCACTTTCCCCTCCACATCCTGCACAGGCAAGGGGGGAACCGCTAGCCCCGCGCCCCCCTGGACGAGACAGGCGCTCCCAAAGAAAGCCAGATGCCCACACGTCCCGCCCGCAATCTCGTCCCCGCATCCCCCCAGCACCCCTGGCCCCGGCGTTGCCAGGCCCGAAATCGGCGGGGTAGCGTCGAACAAGCTCAAAGATGTCGCAGTTTCCGCCTGCCCTGCTCGCTCAGATGGGTTCCACAGGACCCCGACCGTGGTGGCGGGCATGCTCCAGGCGTCCACGCAGTCGGCGAACCAGGAATGCTTCTCCCGAAGACTGTCCACCGTGTCGAGGGAGAAATGCATGCGAGGGAGCCAGAACTCGGCATCTCGGGGGATGGCGGCCAAGGCTGTCTCCGCCTCTCGAACCAGGGCGGCGGCGTCCGTGCTCTCTGTCATGGGCACAAAGACCATCTCCAAATCAGGCCGACTTGACCAGGGAGAGAGGCCAGTGAAGGTCTCTTCCCACCTAAAGGTGCGAAAAAATTTGAGAGAGTGTTCCACGGGCACGAAAAGCACGGACTTGGAGCTGTCCTGTGGCAAAAATTGCCATGTCGTATCCCGGGTCGTCCGCAGAGCCAACGGAGGAAGGGGCCTGAAAGGCATCCAGGCCTCCTCGATCTGTCCGCTCAAACGTCCATCCCGCCACGTGGACGTGTTTGGAGGCAGAAATTTCCGGAAGACTTGAAAACCGGGGGCCGCTGTGGTGCTTGGCGTTAGGAAGGGGGGGGATGCCACGGCCGGGCTGGCTTCTGGTGCCGTGCGAGCCCCAGACGGCAGCTTTGTCCGCGAGTCAGCATAAGATGGTTGTTGGGCCAGTACCAAGGGAAATACGATGGTGCAGAAAATGGAACAAAACGCGGGAGCCAGCAGAGGGCGGAGGACCTTGTGTTGCATCCGGAGCAGTGTCCCTGTGGTGGGAGGTAGAGCTTTTTCTCCCAACCGGAATCTCATCCCATGCAGTGCCGACTTTCAGGTGTTCGCACGAAGGGGCTGTTGTTAAGTTTTGTGGTTGTAACTATACGTGAGTGGATCTTCGGCAAGTAATTGGCACCATATGTCCAGTTGGGCGGCAGGGCGGGAGGTGCAGCAGCGAAGACGAAAATATGTCAGGCTCTTCAAGTACGCAGCTAGGAGGGGGAAAAATCACGTCCAACCAGAAAGCTCTGTATTAAAGGTCGACAAGTCCTATATCCGTCCAGCAATGGGAATGATGGGCCTAATGATGCGACATTTGCGCACGTACATGACCACAAGCCACAATGTGGTCGGCGGATACTGAGAGGGTCTGAAAGTTCGGGCGAGTCTGAGGAAAACTAACAGATCACAGAGACACAATCCATGTGCTTGCAACGCCTCTTTCCATGACCAGGATGTTGAATTTTCACCTCTTTAACATTATCCAAATGTGAGAAATAAAAGACTGGCACTCGATGTGCAAATCTTACATGCTAGGAAACGACGTACGAGAGAAGCAGAACCACCTCCCTGTGAAAGACTAGTATGTGGCGTCCTTTTGAGTGACTGTAACACGCCAAGTGTTCATTTTTTGGAGTTCACACCTCCTGTGGGAGAATTAAACCTTGTGTCGGTACAATAATTTTTCTCAATGCGTGTTTTCTTGGTTTTTGGCATTTCAAGTACGGTATCCTGGAGGCGCCGGGCCCCTGGTGCTATAAGGGAATAGTCTGAACGTTCTCCTTCAACGCTCCTCTCGGACAAAACCTACGCATTCACAGCCTCGACACCATCTGTTACAATTTGATCTATTGGGGTGAGAACTCGCTCGATTCTTCGCTCTCTATCGAGTCTCGATTTATGTCGCGTGAAAAATGCCCAGGGGGAGGAGGTTGATAGTGTGATCAGGAAAGCCGCTCAGGAGACATGAGTGTCAAAGCTGTTGACATGGGAATGGCAAAGCACACGTTTTACATCAATCACACATTTCCTGTCTTCATCTCTATCATCCCCTCTTCGCACCAGCGAAGCATCTTTCCTGTTTTCGCAGGGTGTCCTGACCGTTTCGCAACTTCTCAGGATGGATGCAAAGCTTGCTGCCCTTTCGCTAGACCCGAAGTACATCGCATCGACAGCATCAGTCCATGTACAAGACTCACTTCTGGAAAGGCCCCTCTGCACTCTGTTTCAAGAAGGACAAGCTCTTGTCGAAAGGTTAACGCACGAAGGTGGTCCGTCCAATCCGTCACCAAGTCCACTCGACGCGTCGGCGCGTGCGGGAAACGACGACATACGACAGGGTCTAACCTTGTTCAACGAGATTTCTCGAAGAGTGCACTCGTTGGGTCTTCTGTCTTCCAACGAGGAGCTGGATGACGTGGCAACGGCTGATCTCAAGTATGTCCTGGTGGATTTTTACCTTGGTATCTTACACAGTCAAGTGCCCCTGGAAGGTGAGAAAGGAGACATGGGAAAAAGACAGATAGGAATTGGTAAAGCCTTGACCTCCTTCGAGACATACATGCAGCGGTGCGAGCAACTCGGGTTGCTGAAAGGGGAGGACCAACAGGCTTGGGCCGGTGCCCGGGCAGAGGAGGAAGAAGAAGGGAGCGCGGACGGCCACGACGACGACCAGAGACGACGCGCAGTACTACCCACGAAGGGAATCGGGGTCTCTAGTGGAAATATGAACGTCCAACGGACGCAGAAGATCGAACGCTTTCGGAAGTTGAAGACGGCGAGGGAGCGTCTCCGTGTCTTGAATCATCTGCTGGTCAAGGTAAAAGACAGCACCAAGGAAGCTGGGGCTGGGGAGCAAGGCAAGAATCGAGAGGAACCGAGTGGTGAAGAGGAGGAACTTGAGAGGGAACGGAGCAAGTTGTGGATCAAGATGGGCGTATGGAAAGTTCTAGATGAATGGACGATGCTGAAACAAGAGCAAGAGATCCTCGCCATGATGAGAACCCAGGGTGGGGAACGTCGCAAGGAAGAAAAGGGGACTCAAGGGAGTTCAGCTCGCGGTGGTGTGCAAGTCACACACATTGACAAGACGGGACCGGGTGGGCAGCTTCGCATCCGTCAAGAAGATTTGCGTGCCCGAGTTTTTCAGCCTGGCTATACCCTTCCAACCGTGTCTTTGGAAGAATTCGCCGCGCAAGAGCTGGCAGCCGCGCAGGAACGAAAGGCAAAGGAGGAAAGAAGGGCAGGGAATCTAAGCGAACCCCGGAGATACGCGCAGTTGGAAGAGGAAGGGAAGGAAGATGACGCGAGGCTCGTAGAAGAAGCTGCTTATCAGGATCGAACCTGGGATGATTGGAAAGATGCACATCCTCGAGGCAGTGGTAACAAATTGGGGAAAAGGTTTTGAAGCTATGGCAAAAGAGTAAGATTGAGCATGTACGTTGAGTGCTAGCTTACCAAAACATGTGTGAATCAAGCTGAAGCATTAGGGAAGGAGGAGCATGCAAGGCACTGTCGCGGCCCCGAACGATCTTGACGTTTCCCTTTGAGTAAAAAGCTAAAGTATGTAAAAACGACGAAAAGAGGGAGGAAAGAAAGAAAGGAATAGAGCAATGCACGCCCGTCGAGCGACATCATGTTAACTTTAGTATAAAATCCACGCCATGAAGAAAGATAGCACGATGGAAAATCAAGGCTAGGGGAAAACAAAAGTGGCTTGGGAGTCAACTCAAGCAGAAAGCGTACCACCAATTGTATAGTAGGAATTTCAACCCCTGCCTTCCCATATCAAGTCATACACACTGGATCTCTCTATCGTGTCTCATCCGTCGTCCCATCCTCAAGCCACATTCGTTCCCCCCTACCTCCCTGCCTTTTCTTTTCCATTTATTTTTTCTTGGCATCCGCACTTTTCCTCTTTTTCCCTCCTCCCTCCACTTTTCTTGCCCCTTCTTCTCTTTCCACGTCTAGGCCTGGGATGCGAGGAGACTGCAGTGTATAAACCACCGCGTCACGGTGTGCAGCTTTCCCTTCCGCCACACGGATACCTACCCGGATTTTGTCGAACACCTTGAGCTCAACTTTCCCTGTAAAAATCGTAGCGGGAGGTGGCGACGATATAAATGCTAGGATGTGCTTGTATCCTGAAAAATACAGAAAGGGGTGGAGAGGGAAACAGACTTGGGTATACCTGGACACGTGATTCGATGCCCGTCCGCTTGTCGATTTAACAAGCCTTGGTCGGCCAGCCCCTTCAGATCAATTGTACCCTGCACGTGGGGGATGGGCGGGAGGAAGTCAGAGAAAGAGAGGAAGACGAAAAAGAGAGAAAGGAGAGAGGGAAAGTGGAAGGTGACCAATGTGATTGCAGGTGTGCAGCTCGAACCACGACAGCGCTTCCGGCTTCTCGAACCCCTTATGATGCGTGCATGGGGCGTATTGTCCCTTCTCTTTCCCTCTCGACATCCTCCCCTCTCCCTCTCCCTACCTCGATCCCAAAGCGAGGCACCAGCACAATCAACCGTGTCTCCAAGATGCGCAGAATATACGCGTCTTCCGCCTCGACGGGATTCTCTTTGAAAAACAGGACCGTGTGAAACGCCGTTGAACCACGTCCTGCGTTCTAATGGAGGGTTGAGAAGCGGGGGGGGAGTCAAAAAAGGAGGAGTCAAGGCAACAATACGAAAACAACCCCTTTCCCTCTTTTCTTCCAATCCACACTCCTCTTTGACGGTTTTCAACTCTCCCTGCCTTTCGACATTTTGTGCCTAATCGACGTCCCATTGAATGCCTATCCCTCTTTCCCTCCCTCTCCCTCCCCCCCTCCCCCACCTGTGCCGCCTTGTGCCTGCGATTCATGTTCTCAGCGAGGTCATGCATTCCCCCCTTATCCAGAAGGGCCTCTGGCAACGGTGCAACTCCAATTGAGGCCGCCAAGAGACGATGGACCACAATGTCCGCATAGCTGCGAGGGCGAGGAGGAAAGGATAAGGAGGGAGGATGGAAGAGGATGGGAGGGGGCGAACGGGGGGGGGGAGCATAAATGAGAAATGCCTTCCGATACTCTCCGGTTACTGAGAGGATACAAGAACATCGCTTGACCGACTTGGCGTCTGCAAGGAAACAAATTTCGCAAAGGATGGAGCTCTCTTCATGATTACGCAAATATATCCCCCCTTCTCGATGTTCAATTTCCTCTTCCCAAACCCCTTACCGGCGAATGGGACTTGTGAAATGTGTGTAGATCGGTGCGGCGAGGCCATAGTGGTGCCATTCATCTTGTGAGCACTCGCCTGAGCAGAAGTATTGGGCAGGAAACATGCACCTGCAACGGACAGTAGGGTTGAGATTAGAAGGGGAAAGCAAAGAGAGCATTTGGAGAACGGCCGTTTGGGAGCCTTACTGTCTCCAGGTGAACGGGCGACGTCATTGGAAACACAACACGTGTACGTAAAACAAGTAGGTCAGAAAGGGCACCAACGTGACAAGCCACGCCACGAACAGTGAGGACGGAGGGAAAAGCAAAGAGGCTTCCCACGCACCGGGTGGCGAGAATGCGTATGATTTTGTTGATGTTCGGGTCGTCCTTGTCCACGGATGCGTCCAGCGATTGCTGGAGTTCACTGCTGTCATCAACACAGAGCGAGAAGCCTCGAGACGCCGCGGCAGCAATGAGGGACTCGAAACGTTCTCGGGAGGGGGACGGATGCCGGCGGAGCAGGCTGCGGGAGGGAGAGAGGAAGGGAGGGGAGGACGTAGATGAGCAGAGAGGAGGACAAGGGAGGAGGAAGTTAAAAAACTGACGACACAGCATCTAAAGGTCGTGAATCAAATCAATGGGAAAACCGCTTCAGTGTGCAAGATACAGAGCTTGAAACACAGGATCGATAATGGGAGTGAGGGATGAGGGGAGATCACCTCAATGTAGGATAATGCCGAAGAATTTTCTTCCCGACCGTGATGTTAGCCAAAAGCATGAATTCTTCCACGAGTGCATGCGTCTCTTTAAGCTGGTACATCTGAGGACGCAATAATGGGAGCAGAGAGGGAGGGAAGAATGAGCAAGAAAAAAATGGAGAGGGTGAGGTTCAATGCCTTTCTCCTGCTCGACACGGTAGAAATACTCGGAACCTATCGGTATTCGGGGGAAAAAAAACTTCCCCAGAACAGAAATGAACAGGAAAAGGCCTCCCGAAAATTCCAAAAACTACTTTCAGCCCCTACATCCGAGGGAATGGTCCGTCGGCAAGACGTAGCCCACAAACTACAGCATACAGACTTCTCAGTAATCCCAAACCAGGTATATCTGCACCAGGATGATCTGTCAGGAACACCATCACCCACCCCAGCCTCCAAGGAGTCGGCACGGAGCGAGTGTCCACGATAATAAACCGCAATCGCCTCTCCACAGCCCCTCGCCTGCAACCAACCTTGCCCTACCTGTACATCCAACGGATCGGAGCTATCCGCATCCAAGACAAACTTCACTTCTGTGGAGGCTAACATGAGCGCCCCTGCCTCCATCCTTTTCGCTCGAAGCTTTTTAGCCAGACTATTCAACCCTCTAATACCCTGGAAGAATGTGAAGACAAAGGACATGGCTTCTGCGGTGAGCCGCAAGATTTCTCTTCCTCCTTTTCGACCACAGCGTATTCATGGATACCGGTCAGACCTCTTAAGCCCCATCGATGTAGAAAGTTACTTGAATCTGAGGAGCGGTCGCCGTAAGGTCAGCACTACACTCGCGTGCTTCCTTGGGCATCCCAGACCCCTCCATCCACCGACCGCCAAATCCAGCACATTCTGATCGACCCTCCATCTCCGCCTGCGTTCCCTTCCCTTCTTTTCTTCCTACCTGCGCAACAGCATCCTGGGCATGGGGATCGTCGTGGATGTTCTGGGCTTCTTGATACGACAACGACGCGACGGACCGAATGATGCTTTTGCAAAAATCTACCGAGACGATGTCTGCGTTTGAAGTCAACTCCCAGAGGACACTAGGTGGGCCAAGGGAAGGAATGGCAGTGAAAAAATACAGATACGAATCTGTGGATAAGCTTCAGTAAGGCTTTTTCCGTGCACAAACGTAGTGCAAGGGACCATGCCAGCCACGCTCCAGGCTGGCCGCCTCCTTTCCCCCCTTACGCCCTCCCTTCCTTCTGCCTCCCACCTGAAGGCAAAGTGATCGGAGGTACTCGTCAAAGAGCACAGCGTCTCAGTCAGGAGCTTGGGCAGCATGTCCAAGCGTCTTTGAACCAGGTACGTGCTGCACAAGGGAGAAGAAAGGGGAGAGCCCGGAGGGAGGAAACATTTGGAGACTTAGAGTCACGCCACCCTCGACATCCACGTCCTCCCGCCTTCTCCTCCTTCCCTTCCTCCCTTCCTCCCTCCCTTTCTTGCCTCGTCGAGCGGTTTGCGGCCTCCTCGTCCAACGCACTCCCTGGCTGGACAAAGTAGGAAACGTCGGCGATGTGGACCCCGACCGCTGAGCGGAGGGAGACAAAGAAAAGGGGAAGCGGGGGCAGGGTGAGTGAGTGAGCTATTCGCTTGGGAGGAGCAGCCTATAAGAGAGGAGGAAAAAAATGGGAGGAAAAGCAGGAAAACAGGGTTCAAGGTATGGCAAGAGGGTGGGTAAGAGGGAAAGGGAAATTGAAAGACACGGACCGAAATTGCCATTGGGCAAGGGCGTGCAATGGAGAGCGTCGTCGATGTCCTTGCACCCCTGTGGACGGGTAGATGCAGTGGGCACACGCGTGAATTGGACGGTTCTCAGACTTGTCTTCGTACCCTTTGCCTTTGTGCCGCTTGCCGAGCAAGCCATTCCCCCTTCAAGACGGGGAGGACCTGCTGCCCTCCTTGCGATTGGAAGGCTTGGCTCCAGCGCCCAGCGTTTAGGGTGGCTCCCCCTTGCTTGAGATCGTCCGTCTTTCCCTAAAGCTCTTTTACAGTCTTTCTTCCCATCTCCCCCTTCCCCCTGTCCTACTCCAGTTCCTCCGCTTCCCCCTGTGGCCAACGGATTATACCGTCTGCCCCATCGTTCTGTCCCTCGCTCTACCCCCTCCTCCCTCCTTACCGGTGGATCGATGCTCATGACAGAAAGCTTCCGGAGGTCGACCCTCCCTTTGGTATTCTCAGATGTCATGCTCCAATCGGAGGGAGGGAGGCAAGCCATCACCTGCCAAGGGGAGGGAGGGTATACTTAAATATTTAGATATGCATTTTTTCTCAAGAAATACCGAGGAAGAGGGTGGAGAAAACCATCTTTATGAAGAGGCTTAAAGAGGAAGAAAGGATACAAAACAGAGAAAACAGAGGTTGACAGAGGAAGAAATGAAGGAAGAAAAAAAGGAAGGAGGGAAGGAGGAAGGGAAGGAGGGAGGGAGGGAGGAAGAAAGGGAGGGGAAAAACCCACCTTTTCTGAAAAAGGCTCCCAGGGGATGTCGTACTCGTGCAAAAGCACCTGGGCGAAGCAAGAAAGGAGATAAGCTGCCAAACCCTTGGATTTTCTCCACCTTAAAATTCTCTGCACTCCACTGATTCACACGGTGGCATCCAAACCCTCTTTTCGCTGCCTTCCTCGCCATGTCCCTCCCGCCGTCTCCCGCCCTTACCTCCGTCTCCACCTCCTTATCCCCGGCAGACCCCAGCGTTTTGATGTAATGACCGGCGGGATATCGCGAGTCTGCCGGCCAGGCTGGGAAAAGGGAGGGAGGAGGAGGGGGAGGAGGACACGAGGGCAAGGAGCAGGAAGGGATGAGTGTCATTCCAGAAGAGTGGGAGCATCGGAGCATGGGAAGGAAGAAGGAAAGAAGGGTGGAACGAGGGACAAGGAAAGGGAAAAGAAATCGCGCTCACCGTCCACGGCGACAAGAATGCGCTTGTCCTGCAGGACATCCCGCTGGCGCGTTTGGATCCGGATCTGATGGAGAGGAAGGGAAGGAGGGAGGGAGGGAGGGAGATAGGTAGGGAAAGAGAGACAGAAAGATAAATGGGATGACTTGTACAGAACGAGTGCGCGCGCCCGAATGGAAGAAGAATGGACGAGGAAGTGGGGGGGAAGAAGGAGGAGGGGATGGACGAGGAACCGGGAAGGATTCTCACCTTTGGTAGCCGCCTGTCGACCGGGACAAAGAGGGCAGAGACGGTGCTACCTCCCCCCCAACGCGGTCCGCGCTGGCTTGCAAGGACCCACAGTACGCCCGCCAGTTCCTACAGGGAGGAAAGGAGGCAGGGAGGAAAGGAGGGAAGGAGGGAGGGAGGACGATGACTGTCGACGATGACTGTCGACCTTCCACAGGGAAGAAGACGATTCTTTTATGGAAAGGGATGGAGGATGGGAGGGAAGGAGAGGTAGAGAAAGGGGAGGAAAGGAAGCAGGGCGAGCACCCTACCTCTTGATGACCCCCACCACCCTCCCCGTCGGCTTTCGGCGCGCCGACAAAGAGGAGGTTGGGGGCGAGATAGAGGCAGGGGTGTCAAGCACCGGGGCAGGTATGAGGTTTTCGTAGTTAACAGGCATGTCGTCCTCCCCGCCCCCGCCTTCCCCCCTGGACCTCCCCCTCCCTCGACGCCTGCTCTGCCTCCTCGTCTTCCAACAGCGTCGTCTGAGGGAAGGGGCAGGAGAAAAAGAAGAGCAAGAAAATGCAAGCAAGACGTTAAGGGATATGCAAGGAAGATGTAAAGGAAGGACAGGGCGAGCCCAAAGGAGCGATGCGGATAGAGGGGAGAGGAAGCAACACTCCGCACCCTCTCTCCTTCCCCCCCCTCCTTCCCTCCCTCCCTCCCTCCCTCCCTCCCTCCCCCCCCTCCCTCGGCCCCACCTCTTCCTGTCCTGTCAACCACTCGTCTTTGGGCAGTATTTCCAGCGCCACCACGTCCCCGTCCAAGGCTCGATTCACGTGCGGGATGCCGCGGACCTGACAACGGTTAAAAAGGGGGGAAAAATATCCGTCCCGGGCGAGGGAAGGAGGGAGGGAGGACGGGGAGAACGAAGTCAGGTGCGGGCACGGAGGAAGAATGGAAAGAGAGATTCGGCTCCGCTGAGATTCGGAAATCGGCATCTCTGAGATTTGCCTCCGATCCGATTCATGCGAGGCGGAAGAAGACAGGGCACACGGGGCGTGGAGATCAAGGGAAAAGAGGGACGGAAGGAGAGAGGGAGGGATACCCTTGCCGCTCCCTCTTTCTCAGCCATCCGCCGGCCACTTACCAGGACCGACGCGCGTCCACTTCCGTCTTTCCCCCCCTCCTTCCCTCCCTCAGCCCCTCCTCTTCCCAGCCCAATCCCCCGCACGGACACGTAACCCTCGTGCCAGCAGCGTCCCTCCACCCGGAAAGTCCCCTGTAGGAGAGGGCGGGAAGGAGGAAGGGAGGGAGGAAGGGCGGGAGGAAGGGCGACGGAGTGAGGCCGGTGAGCGATGGGAGGCAGAGGACGGGGGTAGAACAGGAGACAGAGGAGGGAGGAGGGGGTTGTGCAAGAAGGAGGGGTGGGGGGAGGGAGAAGCAAAAGAGAGAGAGAGAAGGAGGAATAGCAAGGAGCTAGGGAGGAAGGGAAGGAGGGAGGGAGGAAGGGAGGGAGGGAAGATGAGGTACCTGAAACAACCGAGCGCTTTTGATCCCGTGGTTGATTTCGGCCGCAGAAAGGTGGGGCGTCAGGACTTGCCAAGGCGAGCAAAAAGGGAAGGAGGGCGGGAGGGAGGGAGGGAGGGAGGGAAGAAGAGTCAGATGTGAAGGATGCCGGCCACCTACTTCCTCCTTCCCGCCATCATACCTCCGTCTG